GTGAGCAGATTTGCACTGTTCATACACTTCCCTTTAACCTAGAATACAATAAATTATGTATTACTAATAAGGAGACAACATTAAATTTAATGTTTATGCTGACTTCACAAGTTTTATAAATAAGTCTGCCCACACTTCACAATAATCATTTATGGAATCAGCTAAAAATTATTAAATCAACAAAATTCATAATGTCTGATTCTGCTTTGACAATTATTTTGTGGTGACCATGCAATAAAGTTATTTTAAACTGGCTTACCTTAAGTGGCAATCAGTAGTGTTAGTAAAGGTACTTTACATGCTAGTGGCATACCAGGTACATGATGCTAAGACTCAAATCAGAAGTATGCCAAGCAAAAATAAAAACCCAACCAAAACCACAGATTCAAATCAAAATTCATCTAGCATTTAAAGTAGAAACATGAAAGGGGCAGACCAGGCAGGAAAAATTATGAAGAAATCATCAAGACGACCCTTAGCTGGAAAGAAAGGTCATAATTGAGTTTTCACCCCAAAAAAAACTTACCATAATTGGTTTATGTAAATATGGAAGGGTAGCAACAACCATTCCATTGCCATATTCAGGTGAGCAGGTGTTTGTTAATTGATACAAGTTGTAATAAACATGGTTAGAATACTCGCAAATGAAAAGAATGTCTGTAAAACTTAGCAAGGATCTTAACATAATTTTGCCATCCCCTTAGTTTAGATATGTGGAGTGTAAATCTTGATGTGAACGATGTTTACAAAAAGGAAATCTGCAGACATAATACCACCTCCCTGCGAACAGAGAAGAAGAAGAAGAAGTTCTCCCTCCTGATCCCTGTTTAGTAAATAACAGGCCTAACCTTTTCAAATCTAGGCATAACAAAAAATGAGAACCCATGACTTCACTTTTAACATTACCAGTCCCGAGGTACTTGCAACTTTGGACAACATCCAAAACGGGGTTAAAGTTACCCACAATAGATGATTACAAAATATGGATATGGAAAACAAGAGGAAACTGCTAAATAAATATTCTACATAAGTTCTATTGAACTAAGTTTACTCAGGAGCCACAAAAGTGAAAATGTGGATAGTCATGGGCCTGAGGCTTGAGCCCCAGCACAGAAAGAATTCAATTCAACTGCTAATGGTCCGCAGGCCACTTACAGATTTCACAGACGGGCTGCCAGCTGAATAGCCTTGTTTTAAATAGAAGCTTATGAGTGGTTAGAAAAGTAAACTCGTGGTAGTGTGACATGCTTTAAAAACAAAAACAAATCAGCTTCCGGAATGATAACACTGAAAGGTGTGTTTACAAAATGCTGTAAAAAAACACATTCAATACACTGCAGTATACAGAATGCTTCATGGGGATTAAACCCTATCAAATTCAGACCATGTTAGTCTAAATGCCCGGTGATTCTATACTAACTGATCCAACTGGATTAGGTCAAAACTAGGCATTATTCTGTGCAAACAGAAACACTAGATCATCTTTTTCTGGGCTAACCTTAAGGGCACACAGAAATCAAGGGCCAAAAAAAATTGTTACCACCAAGTAAATGTCAGCCTGAAACAACTTTAGCAACACACGCACAAATTACCATACCAAGCCTACTCATGCCTATAGACAATAACTACAACAGTACAGTGTCTATGCCTTGTACGATGGCAAGTCTAAAAAGAAACCAGACTTTTTTTTTTAATTCTTTTTCGGCTCTACTCATAAATTTAATTTTGTTAGACATGACTCCTCTGAAACTGTTCTTCAACTGTGCTCAGTGTTGGCCTCTGTGGGCTAGGCTTTGTGAACGCGCTTCGTAATCTCGGGGTGCCAGGTTCGATCCTAGCTGCGGGCCATGCGTTGGTTTCGACAGTGGTATCGAGAGCCGACCATCCAGAAGGCAATGACAAACTACTAGACGTAAATTTGCCTAGAAAAACCACAAAAGCCACCAAAAAAATGCTGGGGTTGGTTCTGCAAAGTCCTGTAAAGGACACGCATTTAACTAACTGTACTCAGCATGTTTTCCAGTATTTTAATGTCTTTTCTGGAATAGCATGCATACCTCACATTAAATGTCCAAGATCCCTCCATGGTCTGAAATTAGAAAACATTTTAGAGCCAGATTTCAACTTATGGAAGAAGAAAAACCATGCAGGGGCCAATACTTGAGAGTATAGCGGCTGCTGAACAACCATTGTTTCAAGCTGCCAATCTGGATAATCTGCAGAACTCACTTTCTCAATGTGACTGACATCCGCAAATGTGGAAGGTTATCCATAAATGAGACTGCCTGCTGTGCAAGTCCATGCCAATTATAAATGCTGCTACCGACTGTAAAACTGTGTGCAACTCAAACAGCTGTTTACATCTGATTGCTGTTGCATTTAAAAAGTTCAATTAAAGTTTCATCTTATTTGAAACAGAACTTGATTCATTACCGAATGTTTATAAAAATGTCACGTGCATGTGCCTTCATTGTACTGGAAGTACATAAATGATTAACTACTATACCACCCTACTGTACTATTAAATGAAAGAAAAATTAAGCTGATATGTAAACGTGTAGTAGCTATCCCCATGAAACACTTACAGGCAACACTATTTAAAAGTCTGGTTTCCTTTTGGTCTGTCATTATTTACAGTAGCAATAACACACAAGCAAATATGAATATTTAGGTATATTTTCCTCATACATAATAGTTGCAAATATACATGAGATACTGCTAAGAAATCAAAATACAAGTAAAAATGAAGACGACATGGGACCTAGGTAACTGCGGGCTGAGTATTCTCTTTTTTATAACCTCCTAGAATGTGATAATAATTAAAGCAAAATGTGCCGAGTTCTGACAGACTGAAGGGTTAAAATCTCTAAAAGGGGGAACTATTACTAACAGTTTAAATGCCTGAAAATGTTTTAAATAGAAAACTACTTTTGAAAGATTTTTTTTATAAACTCAAAAAACACTTTTAGAAAGAAATGTTTATTATTATCTACAAAATCAAGACCCGGTTAATGTACATCTGGGGAAACTATTTCCTAAAAATTAAAAGTCAGAAATATATCTACTTAACAAAATATACAGGTGTCTGAATTTTGTCTGGAAAGTTATGGGCTCAAAAATGCACTGGGCAGATTTGGAAAAGAAATTAATCTTGGCTCCCAGGTCGACCCAGGACAAAATGGGTACCAAGGAATGTCCTGGGCAGTAAAGACGGTCAGCGTGATGTTGACTACATCACTCATCACAGTGCCGATTTGTCTATAAAAAATGTTCTACGAAAATATGAGACTAGCATCACACCCAGTTCACAGTTCACTCTGGTGGAAAGTTCTGGTTACTCATCCACTTCTGGACTTTTCACTACTGGTTTCAGAACCTGAGTTTAGTGGGCATATCCATTTCACAGATCTAGCTCATCTGTATGCAGGCTGTTGGTACTTTGTCCCATAGGCAGGCACACTTCGACTTTGAAGGAAACATCTTTAAGTAGTCACCTTGTGTGATATACTTAATAAAAGGTGGTTGGGGAGGGGGGGGGCAGTGGGTTTATTCTTTTTCCCTCCAAAATGGGACCCCCGGAACTCACACAGGGAAAAGAGGCCCTTTACTTTACAAACCATTTATGACTAATTAAAGCCTTGTGCCTACAAAGAACATGTCTAAAACATTAAACGTCTGATAAATGCCTACAACTGCTTATTAATGAGACGATTACTATAAACTAGGAACAAAAGACTGCTAACAGAGTCAGCATCACTAGCCTGACTATATATATATATATATATATATATATATATATATATATATATATATATATATATATATATATATATATATATATATATATATATATATATATATATAATACCATATATATAATACCATATATACACACACACACACACACATACATATATATATATATTTGGGAGGGGGGGAAGTGTGAGGGGGGAGGTCCCTGTCCTCTGACTATTTTAATTTTTGGCCTTTCTTTTCATCACTGATAATGACTTCAGTCAGAATGTCGCATGTGTGTGTATCTCTTGTAGGCTAAACTCTATAATCACATTTACGGTTTATTCTGTATTCCAAAAGAATCTAACAACTTTAAAAAGTCATCTCCATCTCTATAATTCAAAGAATAACTTCCAAAACATTAAAAGGACCTTATAATAAATGACATGGTGAAATATTTAAGGACTGAAATAAAATACCTTAACAGTTTTCTTCCTTCTTCTTCTGCTTTTGGCCTTTTTTTCATCCAAAAGGTAAATTCCTTTTACAAATGTTATTTATGATGGCCTACAATATTTAATAAACGTAAATTTTCTTTAAAATTCCACGACAATCAAAAATTTGCTGGGGTTGGTTCTGCAATGTCCTGCAAAGGATATGCAACCAATTTTTTTAAACAGTTTATTTAAGTCATCATGATGAGTAAATCTCATTCACAGTGCCAAAGCAATAATAAGTACAGGGTTGATATGTAATTGAAATGTATTTGCGATGATTTCCAAGTGAAATTTGGGACTGGGAAAGAATTAAACCATTTTTAGTTATTTTCTACAGGAAAAATCCATTTGATATTCGTCCTTTTTAATATTCGTCATCCCTTTGGGAATGGATTCATGACAAATATCGTCCTTTCTAATATTTGTTGTCCCCTCGGGAACAGATTAATGATGAAAACTGGAGCTTCATTCTATGTAATTTACTGCGATTCAGGATATTTTACTGTGATTCAAGATATTTTACTGTGATTCAATATATTTTACTGATTCAAGATATTTAACTGTGATTCAAGATATGTTGCTTTACTGTGATTCAAGATGTTTTACTGTGATTCAAGATATGTCAAGATAAGATATACAGGTCTCCATATTTACATCAGGGACCATGCTTCTTATGATTACTAAAGGATCGGGCAAAAACTAACAATGCAAACCGCAATACAAAGCATAACTGTGAAAAAAAAAAGATATTAAAAAAGAGACCCTTACCTTCTTTAGCTTTAGACTGTCGTCTTTCAGCCTATAATAAAATCAGATGCAGTACGCTAAAACATACTTAAAACTAGATAATTATAATAATGTTTTAGTACTAAAACACACTGTCATTAAACACTGTAATTACTACCTGTATTCACCACTTTTTGTGGTGCATTTCCACAATACATGAATATTCACATTGTAAATGTTAACAATTGAACAGTTGCAATGTGAATATTCATAAATTATGGAAATCCATTTTTTATTTTATTTAAATAGGATGCATAGTCAGTTGTGAATCTTCTGGAAGAATGCGAGTTTTAACTATTAATTACAATACATTAGTATTCAGGGCAGATGCATTTTTTGAGTGCCTTATGCAGTAATTAGTGTGCATCTGCTGGTCTGTCATGACTGCTGCCTCCATCAACTATGAATAACAATTCTAGTGGCAGACTGAATGTGCTGGTACCTCTGGTAGCTGCCTTATGCATTTGATCATGTGTGAGTGTTGGATTTGCTGGGACAGATCTCTATTTGAATTTTTTTTTTTTTATATGGAACAGCAATGGGCATTTTGTGTGGTTTTCACAGGCCCTTCTTATTCTCGTAGTGCTTGCTGGCTGTATGCTCCAGCAGAAAGGTCTGATTGTTTGTCCACTTCTGGATACTGGCCTTGTTCTAGAACTTGAGTTGTGCATGCACATCTGTTCTACAGATCTGGCTTATTTGTATGCAGACTGTATATAAAATTAAGAGTCGCCGGGGCAGAGCGGCTAGACGCGCGCCGCGGATCGGAAGGTTTTAGGTTTGCTTCCTGGCGGAGCCTTACTTTTCTTCAAAAATTACCTTGGCCCGCAGGTCGACCCAGCCTTGAGTGGGTACCGGGTGCAGTCCTGGGAAGTAGAACGGCGTGATGCTGACCACATCACCCATCTTGTGCTGTTGGTCTATAAAATATAGGTCTAGCCCTATATGCCCTATACGCGTAAATGAGTGGAAAAGGGTCCTTTACTTCTTTACTTTACTTTTTTGTATATAAAATCTTTTTTTCCTTGGTCTTGCAACCTCAGTGTCCACATAAGAGTACGGGATCTCCTCGACTTATGACAGAGTTCAGTTCTGAAAATGGATAGTCTGGCGTCAAAGCAATGGAAAACATCCATACAAAACATGACTGACAGTACATAAGACAGAAAGCTGTGGACATAAATGATTACCAACAGAACACCACATGGACTATAACAAAAATAGAGCTGGGCAGTCTATTACTCCACAGAGAATTTAACTGTTAGATGGCGATATTTAAAAAAAATACCATATACTTTTACCTTATTATGATTAACACAAGGAGTCACATGATGTTAAACCCATTGGAGTTACAAGTGATTTATATAGTGGATGACAACAAGTTACATATTTTTTTTTAATACGAATGATATATACCTGTTGTCACCTATTACAATAACCAGTTTCTTTACCATAAATTCATAACTATAACATCTTTTTCCATCTGCAATCAGTCTTCTGCGTTCAAAATTCTACATACCGACAATAGTTATCTTCATAAAATCAGTCTTAGGATCTGCTGGGAAGACAACATCCAAAAGTGTCTGACCGATAGAGGACAAGAATGGAACAAAACCAAAATTAAAACTACTGACAGAGAAGTCGAGTGATCTCTCTGGCAAACCCCTACACCCCAAGGTAGAAGAGGATCGACTAAGCAATTAAATCAGTCTTAGGCAGAGGTTCTTCTCAATGACCACAATTTCAGGGGGAAAGCCTTTACAAATTAAAAAATTTCTTTAAGGGCTCAAATTGTAAATGGTAGCAGTTCTCATCACAATAATGCTTATTACAGTCATGGTGCAGTGGTCAGATGCTCACCTGCTAATCCAAAGGTCAAGGGTTCAAAAATGAACGGAGCTGCAGTTTTCAAGTTTGATCTTGGCTTCCAGGTCGATCCCGGCTTAAAATGGGTACCAGGTAAAGTCGCAGGAAGCAAAGGTTGCCAGCATAATGCTGACCACATCACCCACTAAGTGCAGATTGGTCTGAAAATGCATATCTAGCACTATATTCCCAATACGCCTAAAGGTAGGAAAAGGGTCCTGTACTTTTACAAGATAAAGCAAAGTTAGGGGTATCTGTTAAACTCCGCTTCGCTGCGGAAGACACGAGTGAGGAGTATTGTCTGGATTTTTTCACCGGGTCACGCCGGCGTGTTGGAAAATGAACAGGCGGACAGACTGGCTGGCTCTGCACAACTTGGTGGACTACTGCTACATGATAGGGCAGACGTGGTTAGTGCCTTGTGGGAGAGCGTGTACAATACGGAGGAGCAGATGGTTCACCACAGTCTGGTGATATTGATGCAGTTAGGGGTGACGAGAGGTTCTGGCACAAGCTCAAAGCTCAGAAGAAAGGCAAGACGGACATTTAATCAGAAAGCTACTGGCACCATTAGTATCGGAACTCTTCGCTGGCTGCTGAAGATGGGGACAGAGCGCTTATGGGAATGCCCTGAGTGCTGTGATGTCGGTTCTTGAATCAAATCAAATCAAATCTCACCTCAGATCTCATGCCTGCTGCATCTGGGTCAGTCAGCTCTGGTATCTCGACATTTTTATCTCTTTCCTGATACTGCTTCTGCAAAAGTCTGTCTGTTTCTTCGTCTGTATCAGAATCTAAAATACCAAATATAAGATGGCTTTAACAGCATTAATAATAAATATTCATATGAACAGTAATGAAAGAAATCACTGTAAATTATGATAAATTATACACTTTTTAAGAAAATAAAATTCTTTTTAAACAAATTCCCCAAAAAAACCTGATCGGTTAACATAAAATCAGGATATTAGCTCTCCACAGAAAAAAAATTGCCAAGACATATGCAGCACTAAAAGAATCTACATGACATGTACATCTTTGTCAAATTTGTTTTCCTCCCTGTGTGGGTTGTGGGGCTCAATTTGGGGGGGGGGGGGGGGGGGGGACAAGAAAAGCCCAACTGCCCCCTTAATTATTTTTTTTTCACTGTCCGTGCCAGTGGTTTTCAGATGACAAGGCCACAAGCCTCTATGAAATATGCAGTGTGACACTATCCTCCACTGATCCATTCAGCTTGGTTTCAATAAAAATGCCAACTGGCTAGACCGGAGGGAGATCTCTTTATTGCATGAAGAGAGCACGCCTGCAACATGTGTTCCGTTTACTGGGGTGCCTGTCCACATGGGCCCAGTACTGAGACTCCAATCTTAACTTTCTTGTACATGAGGCAATGGGGTATGTAGGATTCAGTTTGCAATCTAAATGTAATTGTCTGTTTCTTTCAGGTGTGGAAGTTGATGAGGTCTTGAGGATTGTGTTCTGGATGGGAAGTGCTCTATTCTTTTCTAATGGCTGCCTTGATCTGCGTTTTATTATCCTCGCAAGTGCATCCTGTACCTGGTTGCTCTGTAATGCTTCCAATATTTGATAAGAAGTCAACTTTTTCACTCACTCTAATGTCGGAATGGCCTGGAATTAACATAAACTCTGCCAGGTCTGCTGACCCATCTGATTCAGCAGAGATCTAAGCCTGTTAAATTGTACTTGCTTATCATTTTGTTTTGCTTGCAGTACAATTGCTTCGGCCTTTTAACTGGAGAAGTTTTTTTCCTGCAGGAAGACTGCATTCTCTTATGGCACCACTGGTCCAATCAATATGGAATCCTCATCCATTTCAGCTTCCTTTGCACAGCTATGTCAATCTGTTTTTGGGGTAGTTATGTTCTGTCATCTGAGTGGTGATATGACTGTATTTCTAAGGGAGCCCGTTCTCTTTCTGTTAGGATGCCACCTATGGTGTCACCGATTTGTGGGGGTACTTGGGGACCAATTATGAGAATTCAGGATAAGAGGACAATTTTATTTTTGGTCAGGAGGTGGAAGCTTGTATTGTGTGTAATTAACCACCTTTTGGTCCTCGTAACAAGCATGTCGTTAAAGTCGTCTAGTTAGGGTGTTTCCTTCAAAGTCTGACCGCAACTGCATGAGGCAAGGAACTAACAGCCTGCACACAAATAAGCTAGCCTGTAAAACTGATGTGCACATAAAAATCAAGCTCTGGAATAAGACCAAAGTCCAGGAAAGGATGAACAACCAGGACTTTTGCCAGAGTTTACAGCCAGTGAACGTGAAGAAGCAAAGAAATGAGTTTCCTTTAAGTTGTGAATGACCAAATTTAACATACAGAATTTTTGAGTGTATGACTTACTAAGCATACTACTGAATTGCTTCAGAGTTTAAATACAGCTGGCTATTTTTAACTGTCATACTCAATTTAATCTGCTTTTCTTAAAAACTCCTCTGACAGAATCCTATGTTTGTTTCAATATAGAATTTATTCAACTACCACATTCATTAGTGAAAAATACATGTCTCATCTCTACTTCCTATTCAATCATACTCACATCTCCCTCCCCCCTTTCCCCATCTAATAATTTAACACTACCACATCCTTAACAAATTACAACTATGCTGCCCAGTTTTGCTGCGGAAAAACTGATAAGATTAAAGCAATAATTTAATGACTGATAATATAAATTGTTCTTTTTCTTTTTCTTATTAGCATTTGTCCTCAAAATGCCAGTTGGTACATTGTGTTATGGTTTATAGCAAGGCTGTGATTTATGTGCCTTTCAGCCTAAGAAATCTGACTTCAGCAAATCCTTAATCAGTCACCTTTTATATCATGTTTGCTAAGGGGCAATAAATCTATTCTTTTTCTTTCCCCAAAATGGGGTCCTTGATCCCACACTGAGAGCTGAAACGTATGGATGTGTCTCATGGAAAAACATATGCGGTGAAAAAGTCTAAAACTGTGCTTTTGTCTAGTTTTTAGATATTTAGTAAAGTAACTTGCACATAATTTATCATAAATTTCTCCACTCACTAAAAAAGGAAAAAAAAAACTTTCTTAAACAATCTTCGTAAACATTATAGGAACAGCAAGAAAGTCAATGAAACTGCAAAGATGAGAAACATTCACAAATCACTGGTAGATATTCCTGACAGTATGACCAACCTCAGCTACTGAGAATACAACAGAAGTAACAAAATTCATAACTCATTCTGATGATAAACTACACATCCCCAAGAAAAGGTCAGCAGATTCATCTGTCAAGACTGAAACAGAAAACAAAACAAACAACACTGGCTTCACGCTCACTGAATTACTGTTATCTTTCCAGCATGCCATAGGCTTGCCTCTACTAATCATGCAAACACGAAGAAAGAAATATGGCAACCAAATGTAGATCTTCAATGCACACTGCAGCTTAGACAACAATGAAAACAAAATCCTTTCAGTTGAAATGATATATGGCACAATGCCAAAACAAGCAACACTTGAAATCAAAGAAAAATATGTAAACTAAGTCAAATAAATTGACATGCTCATGTTACAAGGAACCTCAGCTAAAAGATAATTTCTAATTAGTCATAAACGCTAGATATTCACAGCCAATTCTTATAAAAGTGATTTTGCTTCCCAGGAGGACCCAGCCTAAACATGGGTACCAGGAAATGCACAGGCAGGGAAAGCCAGCAGTCGTGACGCTGACTAATTCACTAGTTTAGTGCCACTCGGTCTACAAAAACTTTAGTCTGGCTCTATATGCTTGATGCATCAATCATGTGAAAAGGGTCCTTTACTTTCCCTTGCACTCAAAATCCTTATTTTTTTTATTTTATTTTTTTAAATTTCTTCAACCCCAAATGTTGAGTTTAAAATTTGGATGAATGATAAGTTCAGGGGTATCAAATGTAAATACCTGCTTGAGGAGGTCTGGTGTACGAATTACCGTTGGCATCAATATCACTGCTCTCTTCCGATGACAGCGGAGCCTCTGAGCTGTGAATGTGGTGTTCGCCAGACTGCGACTGCAGCTGCTGTAGTTGTTTGTGATTGACCAATGAGCCGCTGCTCCCTGAGTAAGAAGTATGGTTGCTGGAAAGCAAATGTCCGTTAGATTTGGAAACATCTCTCCTTCCGCAAGCTCCGCCCATCTCTAAAGAATCGTCTTTTTGTAGAGGGGCATATTTTTTGCCCTTGTTACGTCTTGTGTAGCGGATGCCTTCAGCATCCTCACATTCATCATCAGAATCATAGCCTACAAAATAAAAGCATGCACAAAAAGTCTCCATCAAAAAAAAAAAAACATGCAATATTTTCTAACAGGGGACAAACAAAAAAAAAAGAAACAACAAAATGACTTTTTCAAGCAACTTCAGACATCACTCAAACTGCCAATCAGTTAAAGATAGAGCTGTTCAGAAGAAACACAACACAAAAACACAGATCTGTTAATTGAACACACTTTCACATATTGCACAAAACAACACACTAGTTAATCTAGACTACTAAAGAATGAAAGAAAATCATAATAATTTACATTAACAAATGCATTTATACAATCTTTTTTGACTTCCCGCTTTGTTGATGCTACACAAGTATATATGATTTTATTAAACTAAATAAATATTGTTACATAAATTCATAATACAAATGATTAAGTCACTTTAAAACTGCAAAGAACTGCAACAATACAACAAGCTGTAGCTATAACATGCACTTATGACACCCTAAAGACTCCTTGCTTTGCTGTTGATAAACAAGTTTTTGACTCTAATTAACTACTGCTATACAAAACTCAGTAATCATTAAATCACTTAAATACTGCTAGGAACTGAAACGTACAAGCTTTAGCTGCAACATATACAATGTAAAAGATAATAACAAAGTGCTGAAAGAAGCTTGCATGACAGTAACAGTCAGCATTAATTAACTTATTGACAAAACAATCTGCAACTAACTGTAATCAGTATGATGGTGCAGGATTAGAGCTATTTAACAAAGAAAGCAGTTACAACACTTCTTACTGATATAACTTTTGTTAGTAATGTGGGCAAATTTTATATATATAATTTTAATAAATGTGCATGACAATTTACTCTCTATTAATACTGTTTGCAGAAGAAAAATTACTCAAACTACCATTCTGATAACAATACATGTGTAAATAGTTTGCATGCATATGCTAACGTGTCCCCTCAAAAGTGTCTCCACCTTAGTTCTGTTTTATGACCTGGGTTATCTTAACGAAACTCCATACACATCCAGGTGCTCAGATTCCCTCTTCAACATTCACATTAGCGTACCTCAGTTAACAGTGCCAATCCTGTGCTGATTAATAAGACTTCTTCTAGTGTGCCTCTCATGCTTGGCTGTGCCAATCAAAACTCCCAATTGTCACATTCTAAACAGTGATGTGGACAAGCTTCTCCCAATCACCTTTGACTATCCTATCTCTCTGAGGGCACTAACAATGTCAATTTGGTCAATAGGCCTGCCATCTGCAACTAAGGGTAGAACCAGCTAATCCATCAGCTCTTTCATTAACAACTAAACCTGCCTTAGTGCGATAGAGTAGCTTTTAAGGAGAAGTCTAGAGATAAGCATCAGAAAAGAACAAGAAAAAAGACACAACCCTGCTGTCTTGCAAGCACACTACTGATAGTCACAGGCAGCTGAAAATTAACTTTACAAAAATGCTTATTAAAATCAGATGTACTCAGCCAGATGCCTGTCAAAGCAGTAACTCGCTTTAGAATAACATCCTGATGGCAATCTACTATATGACATCTTTAATAGGTGCTTGCTTATTTTATGACATGTACTATATCAGATTTTTATGCTTTTTCTGTAAGATTCTGCTATACATTTTTGTATGATATTCTACTACATTCTACTTTTTTGTCTTAGATTTGATTTGGATCATAACATCGCTTTAATATTTTATTTTTTTATTTTGAAATGCTTTGAAGTTTTAAGCTTTTTTAATTATGAAATGACTAACAAAAAAAGCAGAAATGTATCAGACTGTGTTATATATCAGAATGTGAAATGGGCAGTGATAACAACATTAAATTAAAACATAAGTCCCAAAGCTGAGGCATATAAAATGCACTACTGAAAAAATATATATAATAATAATTAGTGCTTAATGATTCAGAAACATTTGTTAAACGCATAAAAAATAGAAATGTGTAAATGACTTCTTTTCATGCCATAAGAATGTTTTTTGTTAAAGAAGAAATATAAAACAATTATTAGGTATTAGGTGTGTCAGATAAATGGAACTTCTTTATCCAATGATCACATCCTTTAATCACATTTTTAGACCATTAGTCTCCACCTGGGGGACGAGTGGGGGGGGGGGGGGGGGGGGGATTGAAAGGTGGGGGAGGGAGAGCAAAATTCTGAAACTGAGTGCGTTTGTATTTATAAACATCGGTTATATATATAGTTATATATATAAAATAAAAATGAAAGACACTTTTTCGTAAGCAGTTTCTATATCTACAGTTAAAAATCTAAATAATATAACACAGGTATTTATTTATAGATTAGGAAGATATTCTGACCAAAAAGCATGTACATACTGTCGGTTTCCTTTTTTGTGGAATCTATCGTCCTCCTCTTTTTAACGAATCATATTTTGTTAAAGGGGAGGGTTTCCCTTGCCATATACTCTAGGGGTGCGTGGGGGTCTTGCAATATTCTCAAGGGCACGCTGGGGTCTTGCCATTTACTCAAGGGGAAACATGACCTGAAAAAGGTTCTGGAGTTTCTCTTTAGTTCCATACTCAGCGAGGCAGTAAAGGACCGTTTTCCACGCCCATATATGTTGTGAGTATACAGAGCTAGACCTAAATTTTACAGACCATTAGGCACTCAGTGAGTTATGTATCCAGCACCACACCAGTCACACTGTGCCAACATTCTCTTCTAAGCAGGCTGTAAAAGAGAAAGTCTCAAAAGACACGTTCTCCAGTCTGTAAATCGTGGACACAATGAACTACTCAGACTAAGCCTGCGCATATGCTCGTTAAGTTTGTTATGCCCTGTCTTGAGGTATATAATGATGATCTGTCCATGCTTGTCAAGACAGTCATCACAGGTATAGCACAACATAATTTTAGATCAATCAACACATGATCTGTAGTGTGGTCAATATCAACTAGCCGCCTGTACTTAGGTGCACATTTCCTCATTAAATCCTCTTGAGGCAGAGATTTCTAATTTGGGCTCCAATGTTGACCCAGCCTAAAATGTGTACCAGGAAATGATCTTGGAAGTAAAGGTGGCAGACATGATAATGACCACATGACCCAGCAAGTGCCAGCTGGTCTATAACCACACAGACAGCATGCATCCAAGTGTGAATATGGTTTTTCATTTTACTTTAATTCAAGTCTAGCGATTTCATTAACATGGGCTCCAAATTAATAGCAAAACAATTTTCACTGAAGTGCTACCTCTTCTTCTGAGTTTGTCCTGAAAAAGTTGACTACTACATTGATTTGTGGTTTACAGATAGGCTGCAATTTCTCCATCTATTGGCTTAACACATCCAATTTTAGCATATCCCTAATTAATAATCTTTTGTGACATACGCTTGTTAAGTGGATCTTTTAATAGTTTCCCTCAAAATGAGACCCAAGAACTCACACCAGATTATGTGACATGCATTATCTTATAAAGAATTATATCAAATTTTAGCATTTTAGTTTCTGAATCAAGATCACTCATAAAATAAGTGGGAGGAGTCTAAAATACAAGAGGCAGATTAGGCCACTGCATGCATTGTAAAAGCTCACCACGGAAAACAAAATAACACACACTGAGCGCTCCTAACAAAACTGTGCTCTGACAATGTGACTCAACATCTGGCATAACTGCTGGCAAGTGAAAAAAACTGCCTTAATTAAAGTAACAGTAAACAAACCCACTGTAAATCCTGCCTTACTAGGTATGAACTACTATAACTTTGCATTTACTAGGCCATAAAATAATCAAGTGGGGTGTGCAGTTACCTTCCTGGCAGCCTTTATTAGCCATAAAATTCAGGACATTGTTTTCTAACTATAAAGTACTATTCTAACTATGAAGGTGGCACCTACCCATGATTCATTGTGCCTACCAATGAGTCATAGCGAGCAAACATATTATAACCCTGACTGGTGATTGAATCCCAGACCTCTTGTGTTTGCACAGGAGTTTGCACACGCTGGTGAAGTGGTCAAGACAACTGCCTTGCACTGAAATGTGTCTGTTAATTTCATGGATGTGTCGATCGATCAACAATCTCTTTAATGGAGATTCCTGGGGACCCCCATTAGAGCTACAAAGTTTGTGCTTTGTGCAATGCTCTTGACATGGGGAACTTGCCATTTTGCTGAGAAGGACCAAGCTATATGTGATGAGCGTGCAATAAAGTTGGACCTCTGAATTTTAACTTTGAACTTTATGAGTCTGCACTAACCACAATACTAAATCTTCTTTGAATTTGGAGTGCATCTGCCTGAGCGGTGAGGAACCAACAGTCTGCATTTTCAGTAAACTTTTACAACAATGACCTAAACTAGACATTATATTTTCAAAGATCATTAGGGACTCAGCAGGTGATGTGGTCCACATCATGCCAGCCACCTTTACTTCACACGGGAATCCTGGGACCTTATTTTATGGAGAGAAAAAACAGACAACCCCCCCCCCCCCCCTTTCCATCCAACAAGCATGTCATAGAAGTCAACTAATTAGGAGTGTTTCCTTTGAAGTCAGACTCAATCTGTCTACTAAATGTACCTAAGAGGTATGAAAACAATAGTCTGCATACATATAAGTCAGATCCGTTAAACGAATGTGCATGCAAAACTCATAATCTGGAACAAGATGAAAGTCCAGAAGTGGACGAACAACCAGAACTTGCTGCCAGAGTTTACAGCCAGTGAACACTGGAAAGATGAAAGCTTCCCATGAGATTATCTCATACTCATTTTAGGTTGAGTCAACCTGGAAGCCAGAGGTCAAACCTCAGACCTTTGAGCCGGTAGTCAAGCACCTTGCCACTATGCAACCAAGCTTCACCATAGTCTCCTAAAACTAGGGCTTTAGAAAAACTGGACTGCACATGTTTCTGAGCAATTGGAAATCTTTACAAGTAGGCTCTATAGATCAGTGCCTTGGCAAAATTTTACATATGGCAAATCTACTAACAGCATAATATTTATAGAGTATGCATCAAAGAGAGAAGGTAAGCAGTAGTAAACTATGCAAAGAAAAAGTCCCGCTGTGT